GTGTTGTTTGAAGTCAGTTGTACATGTATATATTTAAAAGAATTATATGATTAAACACTATTAGATGGACAAAATTCTTTATGGTGAATTGATGGATCTGTGTGATTCATATTATTTTATTCTACTTGGGCAGAGGTTTTCAGAGTTGAGAAAAATGCAGTCATTTTTACCTCCCTAAAGTAAAGTAGGATGCAGGTCCATCCTCAAAAAAACAATGGTGGAGTCACATTCTGAAAATAAGTATTACAGATAGTTTCTTTGAGAAATTGAGCTATTGAGAAAGACTTTCTGAGTGGCAGTAAAGTCCCCAAGTTGGGTTAGGAAGCATATATATTTAATCAGTCGTTAGCAAGAGTAGTACCTGCTCAAGCACTTAAGAAAAAGATTGCATGATAAAGCACAGTTTCTCTTACTTCTCAAATTTAGAGTTGATTTGATAAATGTTATACATTTCCATTATATACTAGTAAAGAAAAAAATGAATATCACTGTAGAGAAATAGATGGATTCTTTTACTTAATTTAGTTTCATCACTTGCTCTTTCTGTGGGAATATCATTCAATCTAGCTCATTACAAAGAAGACATACAAGGATTTGTGGTAGCTATGGAATTAACCTATGACATGACTGAGTGTTTTTTGTCAGCCTAAAATTTCTTTTTTTTCTCTGGCTTTGGCTCATTGATCTTGAAATAGAGTCATTTTATTAGTATATAGTTCTATATTTAAGTCCTTTAAAAATCACCATCTCTTAGTAACATTTGATAATCAAATCCCATTGTTACAGTGCAATGTAATAGCTATGGAAGGATATCTTTCTCACTCATATGCTACCTAGTTATTTAGTGATAGTCATATAATAAACCTCTTGTACCATGGTAGATGAAGACAGCACTATGATCTCAAACTTAAGACTCCAGTGGAAATAAATTACTTGGTCCTGTTTAGTGTTTTTGTTATAATAATTCTCAGAAGAATAAAGTATAATTTTTAAAGATATATTCATATTGATTTCTTAGAGGAAGAGGGAGAAAGAGAAACACCAATCCGCTGCCTCCCACATGCCCGCTACTGTGGATGGAGCCAGCAACCAGGCATGGGCCCTGATCTGAAATCAAACAGGTGACCTCTTGGTGTATAGGACGACGCTAAATCCACTGAGCAACTCTGGCTGGACTGAATGAGGTATAATTTTAGTGTCATTTTTGGTTCATGAAAGGTTATAAACTTAAAAAATTTCATTGCTTTGAACCTTAACCTTTTCAGTCTTCTGTAGTTTGATTGGTTGCATGTGTGCCTCTTCCACTGGGCTACAGAAGTTGTGAAAGTGGAAAATAAAAATGGCTAGTGAATCATACTTTGGGACATGAAAAAGGTCAAAGTTGTACAGATAATTATTATCTTGTAGAGAATATGTAGGCCATTAAAATTCCTATGCTGTAGTCTTATGACAAGGAATATATTGAGAACTATAAATAATAAACAGTACAACATGAATCTTCTTGTAACAATGATTAAAACTTAGAATAGGAAATACTTAGCCCATTCCCATTCCCATTCCCTTCAAAAGAAAGGAATACTTGGTCAGTGTTTATCTTTCTCTCTCATGTTTAGAAGCTATTTAAGCCACAGAAAAGAGGGAAAACATACATGTTCAGGAGTGTTGAATATATTTTGTTATAATCACTTTTCAAAATGAATAGGATGTTGTGGCATAGGATTAATATCGACCCATATTGCATCAGAATAAAAAAATAATTTTAAGGCAAATCATTCGTTTAAAACTGGATGTTTTGCTGTCTTGGAGGACCTGTGATAATGAAATTATATAGTATTTCCATACAGAAGCTACCAATAAAAAAATATTCATGGCTCAATGGTCGAGCGTTGATCTATGAATGAAGAGGTCTTGATTGGATTCCCAGTTAGGGCACCTTCCCCAGATTGTGGGCTCTGTCCCCAGTGTGGGGCCTGCAAGAAGCAGCTGATCAACAATTCTTTCTCATCATTGATATTCCTCTCTCTCTCTCTCTCTCTCTCTCTCTTACCCTTCATCTCTGAAATCAATAAAAATATATAAAAAAAATCTTGCATTTCACTTGCATTTAACAATATGATCTCAAGCTTATTAGATCATTGCATTTACTGATAACTTTTATATAGGTACACAGCTCTACATAGGATATATATATCTATATCTATATCTATATCTATATCTATATCTATATATCTATATCTATCTATATCTATCTCTATCTCTATCTCTATCTCTATATCTATATCTATATCTATATATCTATATCTATCTATATCTATCTCTATCTCTATCTCTATCTCTATATCTATATCTATATCTATATATCTATATCTATCTATATCTATCTCTATCTCTATCTCTATCTCTATATCTATATCTATATCTATATATCTATATCTATCTATATCTATCTCTATCTCTATCTCTATCTCTATATCTATATCTATATCTATATATCTATATCTATCTATATCTATCTCTATCTCTATCTCTATCTCTATATCTATATCTATATCTATATATCTATATCTATCTATATCTATCTCTATCTCTATCTCTATCTCTATATCTATATCTATATCTATATATCTATATCTATCTATATCTATCTCTATCTCTATCTCTATCTCTATATCTATATCTATATCTATATATCTATATCTATCTATATCTATCTCTATCTCTATCTCTATCTCTATATCTATATCTATATCTATATCATCTATATTTATATCTATATATAAATTTATCCTGCACCTCAGAGGTATATATAAAACTTCAATGCTTCTATTTGCTAATAGTTATTCTTTGTTGCTTATTTTAGGTGATTAGAAATGACATAGACAATAAATACAGGGTATTTGGAAAGAGAACAGAGGGTTGTAAAAAGAGCAGATTGTGTTGGTGGCACTTTTTTGTTACAGTGAATTTGTCATGGTTGCTATAATTGTGAGTAAAGTCTTTATGAGCATTTATCAGGGCACTTCCTTCGAGAAGGCAAAAGTATCCTTGCTCTGCTGCCACTTACCACACCTTTTGGCAACTCTCCAGAGACGCAGCACTGCATTGATACAACAACTTGATTCCTTGTCAAAATATTTAACATCTGGCTCAAAAGAGATTTTTGATGACAATAAGCATGCTCAACTCCTCTGTTCATTAAGGCTGAAAATTCAATAAGTGCTTGGTACTTTGGGACTAAGCTACCTCATAGTGAACAGCTGTCAAATGATTTGCTGAATACTTCTGCTCAACCCACCACAGTGAATTGATGGAACTGTGCCAGCTTCAGGACATACACAGACTGAGGGAAATTTTAGTAAGCTCCTTCTAAGCTTTGCACTACCACCTATAAATGTAGAACAACCTATCAGGAAACAAATGGAGAGAAAGAGACTTCCTGGATCCATGTGTCCTTTCTACCAGGGCAGCAAAGAAACAGTCATTGGTGCTAAAAGCACATTAATGGTTTTGCTTGTAGGCTAGTTGTCTTTTGGATCTGCAGGTTTTGTCAGCCTTCAACCAAGATCTTACACCACCTACATCATTAGCTCTGGGCATGAAAAATGCTCATTTGAAGAATTGTCCTTTAGAGACATTTCTAATCTAGTGGTTGTTCATATACAGTGGCACTGTGTTTTAGGGCAACTTTGTGAATTAAGTTGTGCAGTGGTCAGAATGGCCATCCTTCCACCCTGCTTGCTGTACCCATACCATATTTTTGTCTCTTGAATATTTAAAAGCTCCCATCTGGGAACTTTGATATCTCCCAGAACCATCATTTTAATGGGGTGCTGTAGCACATTATGAAGAGTATAAGTAGCAGCATTATACTCATGAGTCAGCTATTTTCACTTGCATTTATAAATCTGAGTATATACTAGCCCTTTGTTCAGAGAACAGGTGAAGGGATCACCTCTGTTCTACCTTGTTCCTGGACTTTTTAAGCCAGCCTTATATATACCATCTATAATAATAAAAGCATAATATACTAATTAGATCGGGCAGCCGAATGACCTTCCAGACGTCATTCCAGATGTCCTTCCTGACGAAGCCTTGGTAACAGAGGCCAAGGAAGAGGAGGTTAAGGGTGATCAGGCAGGCATGCATAGTGGTTAGGGCTTATCAGGCAGGCAGGCGAGTGGTTAGGGATAGGGATGACCAGGCAGGTGAGTGGTTAGGGGCAATCAGGAAAGCAGGCAGAGTGATTAGGGGCGATCAGGCAGGCAGGAAAGCGAGCGGTTAGGAGCCAGCAGTCCTGGATTGCGAGAGGGTGCAGGCCGGGCTGAGGGGATACGCTGCCCCCCCCCATGAATTTCGTGCACTGGGCCTCTAGTGTACTTAATAATCATCAGTTTTGAGAGGCAAACACTAGCTCATGTTTCAGCAATGCTCTTTCCATCTCTCCTGCCCATTGTCTTTTGTAACTTGTCAGCCTGGTTCTGCCTCTAGCTATGAAATGTTAGCTCTGTTACTCTCACCTCAGTCTCATCTAGCTACTTTTCTGTTGGTGCATTCTTCTCTATTATCTGGACTTTGGTCTACCTTTATGGACTTTACTTATCTTAATACACCTATCCTGCTCTGGGCAAACCTCATAATCTTAAGTAGGTAGGAATTCCCCACCCTAGACTTGGCCAAGTCTAGAAAGATTCCAATGGGCCCTCTACACAGTCACATAGCTATAAGCCAGTGATGGGGAGCCAACTAAACTACTTAGAAAACTTTGGAACATTGCTGATTTAATTTCCTTAAAACAGAAAACAGAATCCAAGGTTTAGACTACCAGAGTGGTGTTTATAAAAATGATTCACAACACTTCCACCTTTAGGATCTTTATTGAATATCCACATATGTAAGGCACATTATTGCTTAACAGAGAGTAAGAAGGTAGAGGGTTTCAAATGTAAAAACATTTAAATAGCTTTCACCTTTTCCCCCTACACTTTTTTACTTTCCCCTTCTTTTTTTATGATTTGTTCTCTCTGTTTAAGAATTAAGGAGGTGGCAGTTCACTAGAAGGGAAATTGCCAAAATAGGGAAGCAGTGGGGGACGGTACATTGGGGGAGGAGGAAAAGGCAAATTGAGAAATGGGTAGGAACTCGGGGGTCCAGATGGTATGAAGCAAGGACCATTAGTGAGCCAACCTACATGTGCAACACTAGCAGGCATGATGATAGGCCTTGGGCAATTATACATGGGGTTCCATGGGCCTCCCAGTGGGAAAGCAGCTTGAGGCATCTTTTCATTGCCAGCCATTTTCACATTTACTGGAGGCTCCTCCATCTTTATCCCTGATCCAACAGTGGGGATAGGTGGAGGATCTTTTATTAGTGGGCCCCTGGGTGGAAAGAACCCTTGACCTTGTTGCAAAACCGAATGGAACTTTGCCTTATTGACACCACCCTCAGCGCCCTCGTTGCTTATCATCACTGAGGGAGAGCAGCCAGGGAATTTTTGGGACACATTAATAGAATCTTGTCCCATCTGGCCCCAGCCTGCCAACCCCACAGAACTATTTACTTCTGCTGTTGCTAGGGACCCTTTCGCAGCAGCAGGTGGAGGCCAGTATGGGCATTGGAGAGCTCTCAAAGTGTCGACAGGAATGCAGGATCCTCTTCTCTCCCTGGGGCCCTCCAGTTGCCCTCTTGTCAGTTCTGGTGGCACGTAGAGGGGAGGTCTCAAGGGTCTACGAGGTTTGCCCCAGGATTCCGCCTCTTCCTTCAGCATGGTACTCGAACACTGGAGGAATTTGTTGGGGTCAGGTCTTGGTTTCACATTTTCATCTACAGTCATTGCTATGGATGAAGAAGCATGTCCTTCAAGGCTTGCAAAGATAGAAATAAATAAGTTGATAAAAATGAAAATGCAGCAATCAGGAAATACCTTGAAATAGGTGATTGATTGAACTCACTGAATACACCAGGGAAAAGGAGAGAGTTCTATCTCTTCCCATGTGTAGTCAGTAAACACTTTTACAACTCGACCTCTTTGGCACCAGGCTCTGTGATTACCCTTTTAACTAACCTGTGGCTCCACCCCATCTCCCCTTTCCCCACCTCCTCAAGGCAGCAAGGAAGACTAGAAGACCCAGGTAGCTTCTTTAAGGGCCACAGTGTTAGGTATGCCATAGAAAACACCAGCTCTTACAGTCCCAGTAGGATCAATGATCCACTAAACCTAGCATTCAGATTCTGGCAGGCATGCTCAGGACACTTGCGAGGGAAACATGTTTTCTCTCCACAGAAGCCGAAGAAAGGTTAGTTATGTTAAAACACTGCAGTTTGTTCCTCTTTATGCAGCATCATTCAACAGTCACAAGGAATTTTGTTAAAATTTAATTTCATCCCACCCATACCGCACCCCAGAGTAGGAATTTCCTCGTGTTTAAACCCCACCATTTAGACAAAGGATTTATAACTTCTGTTTTGAAATTCCTTTTAAAAACCGCCACCCTTAAATTCAGTATTCTTATTACCTGAGTTTATAACCTACAAGTATTTGGGATCCCCTCCCCACCACCTCCGACCCACTTGTCCATGTCCCACTTACACAGGAAAACAATTCAGTTGTACTCAGTTTTGTACTTACACATTCTCAACACAAGCCATGGAGAAATTCGATCAGGAAAGCCGGAGAGGATGGAGAAAACCGGCCGCACGCCCACACAGGCCAACTCGGTCGGGAGCGATATCTTCCGCGTCTGCCTTAGAGCAGCTCAGCCACGCGAATGAAGCCAGGGAACAACTGCGTTGTTCTAGGCTTGGTGTTCTCTTGCTGAGGTAACCTGTTGCTAGGTAACAGAGGCAGAACAATGAGCGGGGCGGGGGAGAGTATAAATCTGTGACACTCTGAAGCTAAATGTACGATTCCTTTTTTGCACAGTAGTAGATGGATGGTAAAGACATTCAGTCCCTTAGCCCGGTTGCAGTCCAGTTGGAAAGACAAATCATTTCAAGATTTTAGAAGAAGCATGGAGTCATGATCTTTTGTAAAAAGTTACTCCTGAAGTTTTACTTAGGAAAGACAGTTGTCATGTTTCTTCTTTGAGTTTGGAAATACAAACATTGAGCACGATTCCATGTCTAATCTTCTCATTTAAACTTCCATTTTGGGAATTCATATTATTAACTTGGTGGGGAACAGAGATTTGGAGGGTTAAATTACTTTTTAATCTGAGTCTCTCATGTGAAGATGAAACAAAATAGGACTATAAAAATCCATCTAAGAATCATACTGGCTTTTAGTTTTTAGTCACTTGATTTACAGTTATTTTCTTCATCCTACCTCCTAGTTTATCAGGTGTGTGTAATATATATTACAATGGAGTTCTGGATACTTCTCTGCAAGTGGAAGGAGGGAATACAAGGCATAACAGATATCAAAATGTACAGATATTAGCTCCTATATTGCCTTGTAACTTTTTTGCACTTTCTGTTTTCCTGCCTAGATTCCACCCCCTCTCCCACTTTAAGCAAGAATACATCCCCAGCTTTTATTTTCTGCCATCAATTTATTTACAGATTACTCACTCTAAAATTACAAAGGTCATCCCCTCATTTAAGATTGCTAACTTTGCTCTAAAGGGTGTCCCAAAATTCACGCAAGAAGTAATTTTGATAGAAAACACAGGTTTATGATTAAAAATTGTAAATTATTTATTGATTCCTAAACAATACAGTATACGGTTATGTATGGAATAGCATACATAAAAACTGGATTATCATGTCACGATAGTGAGCACCATTAACTGTTATTGCCTGAGCAGCCGATTT